CACAATAGTTCCTGTAACCACTAGGTGAAAGTCAGTCCAGCTGTTGCCTCTGATTTTTCACTTTTTAAAATTAATATCAAATACCCTGCCATACAATGCAAATACAACACATACATGCAACAGCTGCTCTGCTTTGGAGTAGCAAAGCCAGTTACTCCAAGGTATTCTCAGGAAACAGAAAAGCAATGTTATCGAGGCTGACAGATTTCTGAAATTAACAGACGCTCGGTTTAACTGGTATTTTAGTAAAATGAGTCTTTATGCCAGCTGAGAAGAAAGTAGAAAGTAAATCAACAAGCTTTTTTCCAGAAAGACTTCAGTATCTCAAAAACTCACCAGTGGGAATGTGCTGCCAAGGTTGCTCCCCGACCCATTACAAACCCAACCAATCCAAAACACCACTGCTATGACTTGGTGAGACTACAGCTTTCACACAGGTGTGCTTGAATCTATGTTTTGCACTCTGTGAGAGCAAGGGAGAAAGAAGGTGATGGATAATGCATTTTAACCATAACCATGCCATCCTGTGGTTATTTTTGCAGTACAAATGAGTTACATAAGGATGAGCTGCATTTGCATTTCATTCACCAATTCCACTCAGAGAAGCAGTTAAGCACCCTTATTTTTCACAGTAAGACAAAAGAAGTTGGATTCTGAGTTTATCTAAACAAACATGAGCTGAAGTAAAATGTATGTGCAAGTAGCACATTTATTGCATCAAGGGAAATAAGGCATCAAGCCAGAACCTGATCTTGTTTGCTGCTATGTAAATGATGAGTAAGTCCACTAGGGTCAGCAGAGCAGTGGAGTCACATGAGTCACAGCACAGTGCTCTTTGGAAAGATTGCTCCATGGCTAAAAATACCACTACAGTTGCTTCAAGAAAAGCTCTGTGTCAGCTTTTAATAAATGCTGGCAGTGACGCTGAGCTCTAGGCACTCATAAAGCCAAAAGAATGAACAGGAATTAACAAGTGGCCTTAAAAACATATTGAAGAGAATGGAAGTTTTGTCTGTGCAAGAAGTGAAGAATCAGACCTTTGGTAGTGAAAATTATGACCTAACTTTTCCACCACATACGTTTCCATCTTTCAAGTGGGTCTGGGGGTAAAAAAAAAGTAGAAAAGACACTAAACAGATCAAGTTTGTGCAAGTTACCACTCAGCTCTGTGAAAACATGGGGTTTGTTTTGCTGTATTTTTTTACCAGGCTTGTCCCAGTAAATGATGACTTGCTCCTCCCAGGGAACTGCAATAATGAATCTACTGTTTTCAGTGAGTATGGACAGCCACACCGACAAAAGCCAATCCAACACTACATCCCTTGTGATTAAGCAGAACGGTATTTCCAATTAATACTTTTTATATCTGACACACACAGTGCTGAATCTGGAAAAATAAATCATAAAAGGAATGACCTTTGATCTTTTCTTTTTTCGGTGGAGCCATAATTTAGTGCTATTACAACAGTAGTTTCAAGTTTTTGAAAAATTGTTTATCAGGTGTATGTTTCAAATGTATTCTGTATCAACAAAGTCCTGAATTAGAAGAAATTTCATAATTCTTTATGAATTGCTCTCCTACCCAGTCTTTCCCACTGGAAACCTGATTAAATGCGTATTATTTCTTCTTAAGTGGTTTTACAGGTCGTTTATCTTAGATTTATGAGTATCATCCTACTTTAGAAGGTATTAGACAGCTTTAATGTTTGACACGTATTCTCTAAATCATTTACAGTGCTCTCCATTTGCACTAGACGATTGGTAATCTTCTCAATATTAGGTTTTATTGACAATGCACCATATAGAGTCCTTATTATATGGTAATGATTTAAGATGGGTGCAGGATTGGGAACTAATAAATCCAAAAGCTCATTTTTGATTGTTGACAGAGAGCTGAGGAATAATGTGCATCCATCTAAATCACTCTGTTCTCAATACTATCACACACGTTTAAATTGCTCAGAACACAATGCAGGGATGTGCAAACAGATCCAATTCTTGCTTTGAGCCTGATGTATTCATGCTTAAAACTGCTTTTATTCAGAGAAAACCCCCAGCAGAAGTGAGGTTCCCCCACGGTTTGGAAGCACCAGCTGCCACCTTTCAGCATGTGGGAGGAGCAGGGGTTCATCCCGGCTGCCCCAGCCCCAGCCCAGCTCTATCACACATGATTCACACCACGATAAATGTGCCTAGCAAGATCAAGAAGCATTTTGTCTGAGTAGGGAGTTAGTAAAACTGAGATCACGGGCTTTAAAATCATCTTCATAATTTATATTTGGGAGACAGTATTGAAAGCTGACATATATAACAAAGACATACCTTCATGTAGCCCCACATAATAATAATTTCACAGAAATACAGGCATTGATAGTAACAGAATTCACTTGAATAATTGATTTCCTTACTTCAATAGAAGATCAGCCCCCATATCTATATTACTCAAAGAAAATTAGAGTAGAAGATAAAAAAATAAAGTGAGAGACTTTGGCAGCAAATGAACATCTTTCCACTGAGTTCTACAGAATTAAAGTCATCTGCAACCCTCTAATCCAAAGGTATGTCTTTGAAATGCAGTCAGGAGATCTGTATCAGTCCTGCTTCTGTAGTATGTCACTGAAAATGGTTTCTGGGGCATCAGAGCTGCATGATCCAGCAATTTGTTAAGTTGAAATGTGACAAAAAAAAAAGGCTAGAATGATCTCAGAGCAAAACCAGCACAAAAATCTGCATCCCTCTTTTATCCAGACAGATGCTGGGTTAGAAAATTCTAGTGAAAAATTTGGGTTAGTGGCAAAACTACCCTGTGACAATTGCATATTGGAACTGTCAGCAGCAGGGAAGTACAGCAAAGGGGTTTCTTCTCACCTTGCTCATTCAGAAAACACCCCAAAATCCTAACCCAGGCTAGAGGGCTCTCAGGCTCTCTCTGCTGTTTACAAATGAGTCAGTAACAGAGGAAGTGGTGCTACTAAACACTGAGCCCCCCCAAGCTCCAATCAGTGTAAAACACCTTGTTTGAAGCAAAGCATTGCTGTTACCTTGCCTTACTTCGGCATGAGCAGGTACAGATTTACTGGGAAAAATAAGGAGAAAAATAAACAAAAACCAATATCCTCCCAAATCAGGGCTCCGCAGGGCCATATACACACTTCTGCCCTCATCATAGGGGAGCATATACAGCCCCCCCCCCGCCATTACCAGGCCATTTTCTAACACACTGTCAAACAGCAGAATTATCACAAGTTTCGTTTTTCTTACCAGTGGAACTAACTGCATTCTGAAATGTGATATCTACATATTTTTAAGCTTGTTTCATTCACTCAGTTCCTGAACTAGCAAAATTTAACAATCTTCAACATCTCCCTGCCATGAGTGAAATTTCTTTTACTACTGGAAAGAACAGAGAAGGTCAAGAAGGCTTGGGAAAATTTGTTAGTATGATCTGTAATGTGAATTTGGCAGAAAAGAAATTCAGGACATTTCTTTGGAAAACAATCAAAGGGCAAAGTTTCCTTTCAGAGTCGCGTGGTAATTCACGAGTTACATGCTCCAAGGAAACTTGCTGCTCTGATGATTAGAACAGGAAACTATTTGCTGCCTGCCTGACAGACCAAAGATGGTCATTTTACCTCCCTTTGTCAGTATCATTCTGTTTAGGCAGGGCCACTTGTGTATCCCTTGACACCCAGATGAAGACTGAATGATGCATCACTGCTCAGGAGGGTTAATCCAAGTTAGATATGGCACAAATAGAAGTGATAAACAGTAACAGTGCATACCTTCTGTCTGGGTCTTGTAGAGACTGACAGATGCTTTCTCTTACCTGGATCTCAGCTGCTCCTGCTGTACACAAAAAGCCAGTGTCTTCCTGGTTATCCACTCTCAAGACACAAGCCACTAATACAGCCGAGAATCTTGAAAGCCACTGAGCTAAGGAAATTTGAGCCTTCAGTATCCACTGCAACTGAATTCATCAACAACACAAAAATGACAGTGTGGAACTTACTGCCATTGAATAGCATGGTGGGCAGGAGCACAGCTGAGGTCAAAAAAGGACTAGACAAACTCTATGGGAATTGAATTAGCTGGGATAGATAACACCTCGGACCAGGTTCCTAACACGGAGGGAATAAACCTAAAGCCTTGGGAGGTGGAGTGCTGGGAGGATGCTAGTGGAGTCATTCTATAATAGGTCATGTCCCCGGTCTGCGTTAGTGATTGGATCCTGCCCTCAGGTACCCATATGTAATTCTAGGTTAACCACACCCCCAGGTCTTTGGAAGCAGCCCCTCGGACCACGTGGTCTCTGTGAACATTAAAATCTATCTTTGGGCACTCCATCGTACCTGCCCCAATTTATTCTGCCGTGCTCAACCCAGCCGAACTGGGACAGAGAGGTCTCAGAACCCCACTGTGACACGTGGCATTCGAACAGGGACCTCCTCATACTGAGACCTCTAGGGGACTCGCTTTTGCTGGGTCTTGGCAAACCAATAGGACTCTGCTCTGGTATAAGTCACACCTGACGCAGAAGCGAGCAGCCATGGGAGGAGAACAACCAGCTGTCTCAGAGGACTCATGCATGGAACGCAAGTGAGCAGAGAAAGGGGACACCTTCCCATCGCACCTACCCCAACTAGGAGGCTACATCCGCCCTGGTCCCAGTTTAGCAGGATGGGACTAAGACTGTCCAATTTAGAACGGGACATACATGGACAATTTAAAGAACTTTTAGCAGACCATGTGAAGGACATTAAAAAAAGCAAGCTCAAAACCCTGCTAAAATGGGTCTTGCAAAACTTCCTGGCCATCCTGCACCAGCCACCTCCCCAGTGCATCCCCAGCCACTGGCAATCCGCACAGGGCTGCAGGAGACCGCTCAGACTGTGTTATCTTTTCTGTGGATTTTTGAGATTCAGGGGTGTTATAAATGGATAACCAATTTGATCAATAAAAAGAATTTATTCCATAATTAAAATACAATTGTAAAAGCCACAAGCAAAAAAATCAGATCGGCACTGAAACAGGCTAACAGTTCCTGGTGAGATGGGGGGGGGGCCTGTCTGGCACCGCTCCACTGTGTTTCACAAAATGTGACTATCACAAGGTCCTTTTTATATGTTCCCAGGCTTTTCGGGGGTCCTTTGCCTTCTTCTGTTGGTCTTGTCTTCTTTTGCATGTTGGTACATGTGCCTCTCCTTATCGTGGTGCCTGACAAATCCCTTGGAATACACTTTCTACAGACGAATATTCATGCTGGTTTTGGCGCATATCACTGTAATCTCGTCAGATGAAGATTTCCTGGAAATACACTTTTTGTAAACAAATATTCATACTAGGATTTTTATCAGACAAGATGACTATAACTTTAGCACGAATTTATTCATGCCACGTATCACAAGTTGGAATCAGGCTGTGTGACTTAACAACGAGGGACCTGCAAGCCTCTTGCTTGTTGCCCGTCTTCCACGTGATTCTCGACATCCTTAAAGCCGAAGAGATAAAGTGGCGAAATTCCAACTCCACCTCCCAACCCCAGTATGCTTCCAACCCTTCTAACCCTGGAATAAGAACACAACAGTAAAAATCACCATGTACACTGGAGCCCGTGCAATTTGCAACTCCGGTCCTTTCGTGTTCTCATCCTTCTTGCCCCTCGGACTGCCCTGGAGTGGAACAGGGGGCTGAAAAGGCTGCTGCACTTGGAGGAAAAATCAGATTTGCCCTTTTACTCTGCTACTATGTATTTCTTTCTGCCTTCTACACCGAAAGTTCAAGATCGCTCTGGCCACGCTATCTGCAACCCTTAGCCCCTCTCCCTGTCCCTCTCCTCTCCCCCAGTACCTTTGATGACCCATCCTCTCCCCTATTCACTTGAAACAACGCCAGCTAAGGACCCTGCTCCTTCTCTGCAATACACTCCAGCCACAATGTCTCAGGCTTCCTCACCTAGCCCCACCTCTGGCTTCCCCATTCCCCGTGCCCCGGGTCACGCTCCTGCTCTGTCCCTGCCCGCTCTTGTGGCAGGCCGCACAGGGCCAGCTCCTGTCCCCGGCCCCCGCTCCGCCCCCGCCACCCCTTCCACCTCAGGCTGCTCCCCGACACCGAGCCGTGGCCGGTGGCCACCGTGCCGGGACCAGGGGACCCCAGCCACGGACAGATGGTGACCATCTCCCCCCTTTCAGCGGCACAGCTTTGCAGTCCCGGGGCACTGCCGCTGTCGCTCGGGGGGCACGGGTGGCCCAACCGTGCCGCTCCAGCCACCAGCAGCGAGTGAGCGCCTCATCCGCGGTCTGCCCCCGGCTGCCGCTGCTACCCTGGCCCGCAGTGCCAGGCGGTCTTCCGATGGCTGCCAAGAATCTTGTCTCTTCTTCCTGCAGCTGCAGTGGGGTGGGCCCATGGTGCAGCCAGGCCAATATTAAACAGAGCAGAGCAGAGCTGCGCTCCTGCAGGGGCTCGGGCCCGGCGCCACCGCCGACAAATCCTGCAGCCGCTGTCTGCAGCCCAGTCAGGTGCATTACAGATGTGCTGGAAAGACCAGGCCAGGGGGCAGCAGGAAGGGGTGTCCCAGACACTGTAGTTTCAAATGCGCATTGAATTTCAGTATAATACTGTGTAATATTTAAGATCTTGATTTAACTTCAGAATTTTTCCTGTATAAAATTCACAGAGACTTGCTGGGTTGTTTATGCCCTCAAAAGAAAAATAAATATTAATGTCTTTTTTTCCTCTTCCACAAATCTTACAGTTTTAGTTGTGTGACTTCCAAATCTAAAATTAAGTTTTGTTCTCAGTCATTTAAAAATTGTGTTAACGTATTATTCAAGGATGGGAGCTGTTGGCTATTTCCGGTTTATCTGGCAAATTAACAAATCTAGGCAAACCAGCCAAGGGTACAAACAAAGCTCTAAAAGCTTAGAAGCTTATTGAAACAACAGTGACAAGAAACCTATTAAATATGCAGAGTAAAACCCAAGGCATAGACTTCTCATACCCTGTGAATGACCCAGTTGGTTGCCTGGTAGGGGGGTAGTATACATGATGTTGCCAACCCCTTTCAGACCGAAGGTAACTTCACTGAAACATGGAAAAGTCTTGAAAAGAAAGCAAACATAGAGCTACTAATTTGGTTTAGTAGGGAAAGTGTTTGTGCAGTTAGATAACAGTTTGTAAGTTTACAAGTTTGTTAATATTTTTAGTTATTGTTATAATGTTAATGTTATTACCATGTTGTTAAGCTGTATGTTAAAAGTTTTTAGGAATTCTTTATGTTCGTTGTTTTTAGTCCAACAGAAGGAAGAGGTAATAAGTTTGGTTGGGACCCCCCCACAGACCTATGAGGATAGTTTTAATTTTAGTTTGTTCTGTTCAGTTTCATGTAGATGATTGTTCTATTTTTAGGAGACCAAGAAAAAGAAAAATGGAGACCATGACCACTACAGGGAGGCTCAGTAATGCTACATATGTTTTTAATTTCTTGAACAACTCATTTATGGAGCTTAACACCCCAGTTATTAGACATTTTTCCAATATCACACAAGCACAGTTAAAAGAGAGACCTAGTCCTAACTAGAGATCTAGAAACCAGCAAAATTTTAGGGCCTTTCCCACTGATTTTCTGGGGGAAGGGATATGCTTGTGTCTCTACAGATAAAGGATCTCTCTGGGTTCCAGAAAAAAATATCAAGTCATATTTGCAGCTTCAACAGGAACACCAAGAAGTTTAACAGGAAGAACCCCAGGAAGAATCTGCAGAAAAGATACCTTGAGGCTTTTGGATAGCCTTCTCTTGTCTCTTAACCACTGCTGATTAATACCACCAGTTTCTTAGCTCTATAAGCATTATTAGTATTTAAAGTCCTATCCGCAGGTTATTCCACCAGACATGACTCCCTAAGGGACTCCTGCTTGCTGTACCCATCCTGATCCATGCAATACTCCTCACTTAAACCTGGTCCAGTGATTTCTCATTACAGTTACCATCTGTAACATTTCTCATTTGTGGAGACAGAGCATGGCCTGCCATTCCATCTCACCTTAAGGGCAGACCATGTAGCTTGAGAAGGCTTTCTGTGCTAGCACCTGAGATTTCCATAATTCGTGACTAAAAAAATAGGCATAAGAGATTTGTCCATTGAATCCAATTTGAATCTGATTGCAAAGATGAGATTAACTTTTGAAGTAAAGGAAAGAGAATAGCAGCCTCAATACTGGCACCTGGGGTTGCTGGAGCAAAAGCTTTAAAAATGCTGGATGATCTTGGGTGCTGGCTGAGTAGGCAAACCAATGCTGTCCTGAGAACTGACTAAGCTATTGCTGCATGTTAACAGCATCAGGTATGCCACCCTACAGAACAGAATTGCAATAAACTTCCTGCTATTAGCCCAAGGATATAGTTGTGAAGATTTTGGAGGCATGAGCTACATGAATCTTTCAGACCACAGTGAGTCCCTACACAATTCTCAAGGAAGGAGTTCAATGAACTATTCAGGAAAGAGAACTTATCTAGTTGGACGCTATCTTTAGTCAAAACAAGTTTACTGATTTTTGTAGTTGTTTTTATGTTGCCACCCTGTTTTAAAAGTTGTCTGTTAAGGATTTTTCAGAAATCTTAACTGAAGGTCTTTTCAATTTGAAGAGTAGGGGCAGATGTGGGAACTGAATTAGCTGGGATAGATAACACCTCGGACCAGGTTCCTAACACGGAGGGAATAAACCTAAAGCCTTGGGAGGTGGAGTGCTGGGAGGATGCTAGTGGCACGTGGTCTCTGTGAACATTAAAATCTATCTTTGGGCACTCCATCGTACCTGTCCCAATTTATTCTGCCGTGCTCAACCCAGCCGAACTGGGAAAGAGAGGTCTCAGAACCCCACTGTGACAGAACTCCTTCAATTTCAATTGATGGGTGAATACTCTGGCTCCACAAGTTTCTAAAGCACCAATCCATGGAAGGGGTATGCCGTTAGGATGCCCTGTTCCTATGCCCTTTGCTAAGCATCTCCCATAGCTAATGCCAAAGATAGCAGCCTGGGATACTTGGACCTTGCTCTGCTAGGGTATTTTTTATGTGACAATCAATGCAATCATAAAAATACAGAAGAAAATTTTCTTGGCTGAAGTTTAAAAATGTAAGATTTAAATGTCAGGAAAATGTATGAAAGTTCTTCAGAAATGACTGTAAAGAGAAATGAAAACTTTGAAATACTTATGTAGACCAACCTCAGTGTAGGGAGGCAAAATCCTGATTCCACCTTTGAAGTAAGCAGAGGAACAGGCTCACCTTAAAAGGTGCTGAAAGGAACCTCCAGAGGCTCCCATCATGAATGACCATGCAAATCAGCATCCTGAAATGATAATAGCTCCACCAGCCTTTCTCCAGGAACACATGCTTATTTAGGAGAAAAACTTTTTTTGACCTTTCTTCCTCACAGCCTCCTGATGTCAAGGCCACAGATCTCCCCTCTTGTTCCCCCTACCTGGCCGGGATGCTTGTAGAAACTCACCTTTTCCTTTTCTGTTCTTTGAGTCAGAAACATTCAAAAACACATTCAAAATAAACACAACTCCCAGCAGGCCTATGCAACTCTGTGAGTGAGGAATTCTGCATGAACAAACCTTCTGTTTAGTGCATGCTCTGTTGAGTCAACAACAGCACAGGCTTTAAAGTAGCACTACTGTGTTTAAAGCAGTCTACTATGTAAAATGTCAGGTTGTTTCTACTCTGGAAATATTTTACATTCCGTTCTTTCTGCAGCATTAGTAGTTCCACATCCTGTTTAAGGCTCTGCATCTGAATGGGACTTGCAATTACATGAGTCACTGCAACTATCCTTTGATTATTTTTATTTTTTTTTCCATTTGGTACATGTGATCTGAATCCAGAACTGCTAGAGCCTGAAGCTTGCTCTGCACACTCAAAATGCCACAACAAAATGGGCTGAAATGCTCATTCCAAACATTAAGTTTGGAGCTGCTTGTGGCAAGCAGCACAGTGTTTTTTCACTGCTGTCTCTTCCTTGTGAATTGTAGTGGAGAAGCAGAGGGGATTTCATCTTGAACACACAGCCATCCCTAGAGTGCCAGCTGACAGAATTTTGTGGTTCTCTTTGACATCCTTCTGGGTCAACCCAAGGCCAAACCTGTGCTCCAGAGGCTTTTCAGGTAAGTACAACACACCCATCTGGATGAATATGTTTGAGTGGTCAGCTGGATCATGTGCCGAAGAGCCTGATTGAAACAGGCCAGAGCCAACTTTCTCCATGTTTTGTGGTCAGATTGACAGTGTAGGTTATTAAAGAAAATGTCTTATTCACACTTGTGAAAAGCTATATTTGAAGCCTACTCACAGTGGCTTTTCTGGGAAAACGATTTTTCTACGAATGGCAGTTACAATTTTAGGAAAGAAGCAGTGTGGATATTTTCAAATTCAAATCAAAATTTGGTGCAAAAGAAGAGAAGAAAGGCTTGAGAAGAAAAGATCATGACAAAATACTGTAAAACAGGTAAAAAACTGTCTTCTTTTTTTGTCTCCTTTCCCATAATTTTCAAGCCAGCTCCTTACTAGAAAAGCTGCTTTCCATCTAAACTTCCATCACACTGTCAGTGTAATGCAAAAAAGCACTGTCTGAAAATAGAGCTTTTCTTTTACCAAAGGATAATTACTAGTTTTTCACTGTCTCATTATAAAATTCTAGTAAAGACAAGGATTTTGCCATGAAGATGATAAAAAGCATCACTATTATACCTTATACAGGAGAAACTATACTGTTTCATCTGTCCTCTGCTCCTGGAACCCCACCACTTCTCTGGAAGACAAGGTAGAATACAAAACATCTTCCCTTCATTTCTACAAGATCTATCTGCTTTAAATCGAGAGCTCTGTAGGGTGGGAAACTGTTAGGAACTATGTTATGTATATGCATTGTAAAGAACTTTGTTAGATCAACAATGTGGCAAAAAACCCAAAAAACCTCAAAGATAGTAATATCAAAGCCTCAAGTGTAGGTCCCAGGAATGACAGCATAATTATTTTTAGAGATGACTACAGCAGTAACTCCACATGACATGAGAGACTGGAGAAACAGCAAGCCTGATTTAAACCAATGGGAAAGCCAGGAATACAGAATGGAGACTGTTCCTAATGCACCATATTGCATCTGAACATTTTGTTCCTACCCATCTATCCAAAGTATGATGTTTTGCATTTCATATTAACATTCTGAAGACATTAAAGAATTCTTCAATTCAATGTTCATATGCTGTGTCAGAACTCACACTCCGACTGCTTAGAGAGATGCTATGTCTACTCATCTTCCCTCCCCCAGTCTCCTAACCATCCTCCTTCCCACTCCCCAAAAATCCCAAGGTCTACTCTTTAATGGGTGGATTATTTAGTTCAGCAGAAAGTTGGTTACAAATATGGTTTGTGGGATTTGGACTTCACTCACTGGATTTCTGTACCATCTCAGCTGTTATGCATATGTTTTAAGACTGACTGCTAACAAATCATCACAGTAAAACTTGAGGTTCTTACACTATTTCTTATCTTCAAAGCACTTTAAAATTTCCAAGAGGTTCTACAAAATCTGGGAGAGAAAGAGCTATGGGCAAAAGTCTTTGTTTAGCATTGGTCTTAATATAAACCACAGTTAGTCCCTTTCTGTTTAGCATTACAGCAGGAATGCTGCAGTCCTCAGATTTAGGTCTGAAGTGCTAAACAATGCTAAATTGCCAATAACACATTTACACTGAAAAGTATTTAAAGTACTCTTTGTTATATGGATAGCTCTCTTCAAAAGTTCTGTTCCTACCTTTGAGTTCAAAACTAGGGAAACAGTGACATTAGCATAATGTCTTGAGAGATGGATTTATGTATCAAAATAAAGGACATTTTGACTTCAGAAAGTTTTGTCAACAAAAAAGTCATATTTCATAGGAATAAAATAAGAAAGGACATAACCAGGAATCAAAATATTTTTTTAAAGGTAAAACTAATAATGCTTCACTAATTCCTTCAGTGTTCAAAGCAAACAGTCAGCTTTTAATAGCTGAAAGGAAGCTCTCACTAATTCTCTGGCTAGCACTGGAAACAACAATCAAGAGAACCTGAAAGTGAATCATTACAGACCTTACTTCTCCTTATCATGCACCAGGGGAAGAATTTTTTTCAGTTCATGAGAAAATGCTCTGTCCCCTTCAAACAGTGAACCCTTCAGTGAACCATTGGTTTGCAGGAGCTCCATGCCCACACTGCACATGCACTCTTCAGAACACACCCAGGCTCTTGGTGCCCAGGCACAGCTACTGGGTGTTGTTCTTAGCTGTGGGACCACTTCCTGCTGAGAACATGGGAATGACCCTTCTGTCTGCATGCTCAGCACTATGCCCACCAGGAGCAGCCCCTGAAAGTCAGACAGCATCAAATCAGGTATTTTAGGAGAACTGCTACAAGCTATTTTCTTCTTTTGACTGGCTAAGTCAGGCTTGCTAACTTTTTTCATTTACCACCATCAAAAAATGAGGATGAAATTAAACAAAATATAACTTTTTACTTAGTGGTAAATAAATATGAAAATGCAACAAATAAAATTCTCTATTTCTCATGTATTCCATGAAACATGCAATCCAATCCAGCCTTTACATTTCAAAGCATGACTTGTATTTCACATGCTTTCTAGGGCACAGAGTTCTGTGGCACAATTAATATAGGCCGCAAGTTTGAAACACAGAAGTTCAGCTGGTTCTTCTGAGGTCATTTATTTGGTTGGATTCCTTTTGAGCATGAAACATTTTTATAATGTCTGACAAAATATGGAAACATTCTCAGATGAAAGGATACGCGCATTCCAGAAAAAATTATACTGAAATCTAAAGGAACTCTTGGGAATATTGAAGTGCGAACTCTTCATTTGTGCAATTTTAATATGGTGGAAAGAAAGAAGTGTAAGCTATTAAATTTGTTTTAAAGCTTAGAAAGAAAATTAAAACAAAATAACATACATCTTATTAATGAATAGCTACAGTGCAAGGTGTATAATCACATGTTAATTAAATTCTCTCCTAATTATACCTGCAGTGCCTCAAAATGATATTTTCTCTCTATGTATTTTCCTTGTAGCAAGCAACATTTCCTGAAAAATAACATAGGTGTAAAGCAGAAACTGTTAAGTATTTCACAATTGGAAGAATTAAACTGCAGCTTTTTTTCACAAACTTAGCATTTGTATTCAGAAATAAACTGAACTTTAACATGTTTTAATTATGTGTCCTTCTGTTTATAATCAACTTAAATCTAAACTAAACAACATCACTGGCAGAACACTGTAAATTTGAGGGACCGGGATGGAATACTACTGGGATGAAAATCTTTCCAATACTGTTAATGAAATGTTAACCATTTTCCTCTACACAGAAATAATTTGGTTCAGGTAGCAAGCCAGCCTTTGTGAGTATCATCCCCTACTGCCCAATTCCTGAAAAACCCAGCATCATCTTTCTTATCTGGCTATTTAGGACTTGTCAATTTTTCTGTTCTCCAAGTCTAAGCTTCTTCCTGCATTTGCAGCTTTTCATTTATGGCTGCCTGTAAAGAAAATCAGAAGAAAGAAGTGGTTATGATGGAGCTATCTTAGGCTGCACATTGTCTTTGTGGTTTTGACACGGTGTAGTGCAGCAAGGCAGACATTATCCTCCACCTTCCTGTTTTGCAGACAGGACGGTGTTCCAGTCTATCCTATGTGATAACACGTTATCATATTGCTGTGCACAATTCCGATGGATGGCATAGCTGCCATGAGCAGGAAGTGATCTGGGACAGACATTCGTCATGTAACCTTGTCTTGTGAGACAGGCTAATTTTCCTCTATTCTCAGACAGCCTTTACCAATAGACACCAAACCAGAAAAATTGCTTTGGGACCTGGTTGTTGCCATTGTTTTCCTTTGCTGCAGATGTTTGTTCTCTAGTGTAACGTATTTTATCGAAACAGTGCTGGAATTAAAAAGCATTACTGAAAATGAACAATAAAAAAACATATTTCTGTGATGCTACTTGCCTGTCTTAATTACAAACACAATGAATATGTATCTCATTCTGGAGATCCAAACTGCTGTTGACACTGAGTGTTTAATTTTCAATGTAACATTTGTGGGGAAGGTACAGCGGTTGTGATGTATTCTAATGAAATCTTGGCAGTGACAACGCATAGCAATCTCTGTTTGTATGGCATTTGAAAATGTAGGATCACTGTAAAAAGGGCCACAAACACTGGTGGTTTTATAGGTAATTTACGTATATTTTTCAGTATGAACACTGATTACTGCAAAAATACAAGAGAAATGGAGAAAGGAGTGCAATGACAATACTTCAAAGAGTCATCAAGTTCAAACAACTGGGACAGGCTCACAGGTCTTCTACAGAGTCTGCGTAAACTGTTCCAAGCCTCAGAGTTACAGTCTTAATGGAATTCGGGTAATTTTGATAAAGCAAATGGATTCTTACCAGAAGAGCTTGCAGTAAGCTGACATTTTAGGAACTTTGTGGCTTGCCAGTCCTAGAAATCCCCATTAATGCTATTCTGCAGTATATCAATGGGTAACCACAGCTGAAATGTTTTCAAAGTTCTCAGTAGCTCAGATTGGAACCAAAAGGCTGGAATTTCTCTCTCAACTTTGTATCTTTGGAGATGGCCTTCACCATATTCCCACATTCAATCCAAGTATCATCAAATATGTCTTCATCCCTTTACGTGATGTGTGTACTTGGTTGCTGGAACAGTGATCATCTAGATCCTCCATATGCCATCACACTTCTCTAAGGTTGCTGAGACCACTGAGTGTCAGCACTGTCATAGCAGACTAAAAGTTAATTTCTAGACTCAATTAGAGCAACAGCTGTCTTGTTAATGTATATGTCGAGACATAATACAGATTGTGAAACCATATTTCACACGTAACAAAATATGGTATGAGTTTGATCATGAATCAGGTAAAAATCCAATTATAAGATTACTTTGGAAGTCAAGAAACTGAGAGAACAGGTTAAAATGATACACTGGCGAAAAAAATAAAACCTGAGGGGAAATTATTTTCTTTGTATACAACCAGAGCTGCAAAATGAAGTAAAAAAATAAAGCATTTTTCTCATCTGTGCAGTTCTGTAAAGAAAAAACACTCTTAGCACTGATGTTAATGGCATAAATGTCAAGTGAAAACCAGGTATTTACTGTTTTCTATTGGTAGGGACAGGAGTAAGATAACACAGGCCAGAGATTCCCTCCCATTTCTAAGGACATGTTGAAATGGAATATAAACCCAAATAGGTAGAGCTAATGATCTAAGTACTCTAATTCATACCATAATTCTAATTCCTGTTCCCCACTGATGCATAGTCCAAGTAAGACAATTTACCAATACCACAGTATTTTCAGATAATATTAGGTATTTATTAAACTGCTGCTTAGTCAATAGTGTCTAATGTGCTGTATCTGAAGTTCAAAGTGCCTAATGCCACCTGGTTGTTGCCAGTAAGACCAAATTCCAGCAATCCCTTGGTGCAAATCTGTTCTAGCAGGTAGACTTTCAATCATTTCCTGTTAATTCCAGTGACAGTAGCTTCCTTCCCTTCCATGAGCCTCACAGAAAGAAATCATGGACCCCTCAGAGTCTGTAGACCACATACTGACAGCTGATCTGTTTCATTAAGACAGCTCTTGTGTAGTCACACACCTACCAGAAAAAGCCTAAAATTGGCATAAGTAATTTTTTACACAAACTGGAGGGCATGTAACATAGATGCATCTAACAATTTATATGAGGCACACATTGCATATACTCCAGCACAGCAGCTGGTCCTGAACCCTTAAGAAGGAACTTTATCACTGTCATCACTGAGAGCAGGATTTGGCCCGTGTTTTTGACACATAGTAAGGTTGAAGATATATGTTGTCATATTTCTGAGTATTTTTTATCTTATCATATGTAAGCTGACTAAACTAGGAGTTATTTATAGAGGCTAATTCACATTTTTATGGCATATGAATGTGCTTTTTGCCAGCTTTAGCACAAGCACAGTTTATACTCATTAAGACTGAGCTAGCTAATTAACCATAGACAGAATTAGTGAAGAGCTTTCTAGTAATAGTACCTCAAGGTTGCCAATAATTTCATTTGGGATTTCACACACTGCAGACTTCTCATCTTCAGCAGCAACTCCAGCTATAGCATCCACCTCAGAAGATGCTGCCTCTGGACAGGACTCTTGCAGGTAATCCCCCTTGTCAGACCCCTAACAGCAACCAGCCAGAGGAAAAACTGAGTTAGAACATCCTCCTGCCCTTTGTTTGACCCAAAAATACCAGCACAAAGGCAACAACACACAGAGCTGCTTTTGGGAAGTGCTGCCTTGACAGACACCATCATGATTTGCTCACACTGCATAGGCCAGGCAGACACAAACTCCCACAGGGTGAGAGCCCAGAGTGGCTCACTCAAATAAATGTCCTCTGCTGTCTGACTAATGCATTATAAGTAATTTTATTTAATTTTATTCAATCTTAGAAGAAAATGTATGGTATGTTTTAGAGAATAAATCCATCAGTGGCTGGGATCCAATGGAAATTTGTAGAAAAATAGCTTTAAAAAACCCAAAATAAACTAAAAGGAACAAAATTATACCTGAGATTCCATCGCTGAAGCTGAGGGGGAAACTGCAGGTTGGTCAAGTTCAATCTCATTCTGGTAGTATTAAATAGAAAAAAAAGTAAAAAAAAGTAATTCATGTTTAATTATTGCTCAGAGGTTTCTCACAGTTTTTTTTTTTAATGGAAATGAAATGTCTGGCAAACAACAAAAAACATTACCTTTTCTGTTACTATCCAGGTGCTCAGAACTGGAAAGCATTCTGAAAATGATTATAGATCAGCTTTAATTTCTAGTTGAATCTCAAGGGGCCTTCTTTATAATGCTTGCAAAGAACAGATGATTTTCACAATTTTGTAACAGTACAGCTTCTTACTCATGAGGATAATTACGTTTAGAAAACACAGTGCTTAGATAACATTCTGTCTTCCCAGTGCAAATTTGTCAGTCTTGAACAGGGATATTGTTGCAGTTTGGAATTGCAGGGCAGTATCAAAGGAGTAAGTTGGTGTGAAGTTGCATTAAACCAAATAAGGCCCTAAGGAAAATATTTTAATATGCAACTATAATTTAAGAGTTGTTAATGGTCCAAGTTTCAATGCTTCATCTTGTTCCTTTGCTGTGACCATGGGAACCTCGGTGTTCTTCTTCTGTGTGACTTGCAGCTGCAGGAATGCTCTGACAAGGGCATGGCTTTTCCCCCTTGGAGCAGCTGGATGAAGCATCAAGTCCATGCTCAGGTTACCAGGAGTGATGCAGATGGAGTGATGCAGCCCTGTGTCCTCTAAATGGACAAGGTTTTGTGTCCTACTTTAAAAAAAATGGATGACAGAGAACATATGTGCCAAATAGGGTGAAAAAGGCATTTGTCACCAAGCAAGGAGTAGGGTACAGCACTGAAATGGTGTGTTTGAAGCCTCTACAAGGGAAGTGCCCATAGAGAATACAAGGCAGATGTTCCAGTTCTGAGTCAGTGATTACAAACAGGATTTTGCTTGAATGGTATAAGTAAATGACATTAATTCACATCAAGGTAATTGCAGTTCCCATAAATTAATTTTCTCAAACTTTTGAAATTGTAGCTAGGTTGATATTTGATTTGGGTCATTTAGTTATTTTCTACAGTTAACATGCTGAAAATACTAAAGCTTCTATACATCTGCAGAAGTGATAGCAACAACTGAAAACAAAAAGTTCAACCGAGCCACTTCATTACAATAGAAATCTCTTTTTTCAGTCCTAAAAACTTTTCAGAACTTCTGTTTGGGCTCTGTCACTACCTCCAAGGTTCCCTGCTATGTGTGAGCTCAGTAAAGTAGGTAGATAGTATTAGCCATGTTTATAAATACCTAAAAGGCTGACACAAACATTTGCAGATTTTAACTGCAAATAAAAACAGTTATAGAATCATTTTCCTCTATCACTTGTGATTCAAATTTTCAGTACTTTGTTAGTGCTACATACTCACAGAAGAAATCATCAGAAAGCTTGGGTTTTGTATCAAAATGAAAAAAACTGACCCAAATTGTACTTCTTTCAAAAATAAAGACACTTTGTTTTCAAATTCCAATTTTTTAAAAACTAGAGCTTTGTTGATTTAGCAGCTATTTCCATTTTCTCTGATTTCTTACCTTATATTTTCTTATTAAAAATATTAGCTGAAGTAGATAAGAATTCAAAATTCCTTTCTGCTTCCTTAAAATACTATTTTTTTTGCTTAATTAGTTACCTATTCACTCAAAATATTTTTTAATTTAGATTAAATTATTATTTAATTTATTCTCACCAGTCCAGCAAATTTTTAAAAAAATTTATGTCAAAAAATATACCAGGTTTATAGAATCAATTCCAAGCCAATCAAATACATTTTTGTTGCATGGGTAAGATTTTCAGAGGCTCTGTTTTTCTGAATAATATTTTTACTTCACTGCGTCTTTTTACAGAGAGCCATTCTTTACTCATCTGTTCCATGTCTAATAATAACCCTTGGATCATTAAAAATAACTAAATTACAGCAGAACTAGTCTCTTTAATGAGCCACAATAGTCCCAACATTCAGCCAAAAGTTTTTTTAAAGACTGTGAAACTTCAATGTAGAATATCAAGCATTTTGTTTAGTAATAACAAGTTTATGAGTAGGACTACAGTTTACAGCCAAAATATAGTAACCTAAAAATGCCATTCGCCATTGCTCTTTTCTATACATTGTGTCCTTAACAAGTCCAGGGGAAAAGTAGAACGAATTAATTGTGGTGAGAGCCTGAAGCCAACAAACGTATTTAAACTAATCCTTCTGATGCAATACTTTCCTTTAAAAAATACAATTAAGTCTTTGTGTTTCCTTTGAACAAAACCTCATGTTTATTAGCACCAATGGCTCTGTAGTAAAATCTATTTAAAAACAGAGAAGGAGACACAGTAAGTTTTATAGTTACAGAGGTTTTAAAAAATGCTGCTAGTTTCTGAAGTCTGAGTAAATTTATGGTGAATTACTTCCACTGACCTACATTAAAAACTTCAGCCTCCTTTTTTAATTCCTGAAGATTTGTCATTATGTGAGCATTATTCACTATGACAAAGATGTATTACTCAAAGTGTTCTCTTGAATCAATATAATTATCAAAATGTGAGAAACAGTTTTGAAAGATGATAATGCCTTAAAAATTAATTGGCAATATTTTTCTGCACATTGCAGTCCAGTGGGTCCACAGGAATTCAAACATAAAGACATTGTGAGGCAGTTGCACAAATGTAGCCAGCATATCAGTGTCAGCTGCTCTGAAAGAGATTGAAGGGACAATTAGGTGCACCATTCTTACCAATTCTGAGGCGAAGTGGGGTGCCAGGAGACCACCTGGCCAGGAGAAGTCAGCACAGCTTGACATGGGACTGAGGGGTCAGCACCACTTACCCAGCCCAGTAGCACCAGCCCAGCTGAGAACTGCAGCTGGTGCAGACACTGATCTCAGAACACAGCCTCATGCCACAATCCTATTCTGGAATTCTTTCTGGTACAAGTGTGCATAAAGACATAAAAAGCACTGTTTTGTTCTTCATAAAAACTCACATACTTTCCTTGTTGAGAGGTAGCAAATTGCCTTTTTACAAATGTAGGCAGAGAAAAAACAGTAAAATAGTACACAGGGAGATTTCTAAAACAAAATAATGACAGGAAAGAAGATTGGTAAAACATTCTAATAGATGAGTTCCACAGATGTGGTAGTTATTATAAAATTAGCTTTGCATAACTTACCAATATACCATTACATTTTTCCCCAGATGTTATCTGTTACTTAAATTAATTTTTCTTAAGTTACTATTATTGCAGATTTTATCCATGCTGTATTTTATTATTTAAAGTTTCTGCAGCATATAACAAGCCCTGGCTGATAGTGTTGCTTTTAATAACATATATATAAGAGGTTTTAGTATTATAGAAATGGCTGCTGGGTAATAGTCATAGCACAGAACGTCTGCTCTCAAAATATTATGTAGATTAAAACTAGCTATTTACTTACACTCTAATGCAAGGCATTGGAAAGGTTTGCAGTATTTATGTATGTGGTATGAAGTGGAACAATCTACTCCAGGAATAAATATCAGAGTTTGGAAATTAGCAAACATAAGGTCAAGGTCAGTTTGGCTTTACTAATGTACTTGCTGAAAATGAGAATTCACAGTTTATGTTTACTTATTTCATAAACAAGAAAAAAAGACTGAGGTGGTGATGCATTTGCCTCTTTGATAGAAGGCTTTTGTATCACAGTAATATTTAAAACCACCTTCTCATCTTGATATTAACTGAAATTCTGTACCCTTTCCACACAGTCTTAAAAAATTCTCTGCAGCTTACCAAACACAGGAAAATAATTATTTATAAAAATTGGAAGAAAGATTCCACGTTCAACAGGGACCATTTCTAAAGCCTTGCAACATCTTTCCAAGCCTTTCAATTGATACAGGTTTGATTTATACAAATGGCAGATGAGTTTCAAAAAGGGAGTTATTTGTGCATTATTCTCTATATTCCTATCACCTTTGTAGTTTATACTTATATCCCAGGGGACCTTATACTACCAGATGCCTGCACAGGTTTCTCTCATATATATGTGATATTTTCTATCAAACAAACTCTGTAATACAGGACTTATATTGGTTTGCTACTCACGCTAAGCATGGCTGGCCACACACCTACTAATGAGCTGAATTTCATCTGCTGGAATAAAAGGCATTTTCCAGAGATTACATATCATATTAGAAGCCTGTATTTCATGTGGTTGAATTTGAATGGATACCTAATGGACAGAGATGCACCGACTCAAACCAGCCTGCTTTTTTTTATCCCTCCCCTTTAACCTGCCAGCATATACAAACACAACAAATCCACCCCACCTGCCTGTGGAGGCATTGCCCATGTGTGATGGAGGTTCCTGGAGGACTGCTGCCAGTTCTACAAATACATCTGCCATCCTCTTTTGCAGCATTTAATACATGAGGTTCAAAGGACCAAAGGATTTGATGAAGTACTCAAAAACTTAATCCTGATATCTGATCTCTGTGGTATGACTGAGGTGGCAGAGCTACCTCCTGCACACCCTTGCTACACGCATTTGTATTAATATTAAAAGTAGATTTAAGATCAATGAGGACCTAAAACTCTGCCTCTGAAGGATGTCTCCTGGTTGCTAATGATGCACATGGAAATTCTGTGTGCATGTTCCTGGGCAGGAGTTTTCAAACCCCTATTCCTACAAGAGACAGAAGTTCAGTGAGTCAAAGGTAGGCTTTATGCTCTTTTTCCTGCATTTCAAAATCCAATTCAATATGTTCTAAAAGAGTTTTCCATGTTTCTGATCTGTGATGTGAACTGACTTTTTTGGCAATACATTAGTAAAGATTCTAATCTAAAATAGCTATTTGAAGCTATTTGGTGCCTACACTGACGAAACAGGATCTCCTCCTCCCCCCAGGAAGCTGTAAATCAGTCAGTGACATCTGGCCTCAAGGACATCAGAGTCATCTGAAATGTGGCAATTTATATTAATGAATATCAATATTAATTTTTAAATAAAAAGAATTTGCTACTGCCATTATGT